GCTTTGCTACTGTGCTTGAGAACAAGCTTCGTTACAATCAGGTGAAATTTGGTGTTTTTTTTTTAATTTTTACTTACTTTTTTATTAGTATGAAGTATATATATGATTTTTATCAAAAAAAAATGGGAGCTGCAAATTGTCAATATTGAAAGAGAAAATCTGTCAACTTTGATGAAACTGCCAAGATTAGAAAAAAAATTATTTGTAGCAGTATATGTAGTCTGTGAACTATAGGCTAAAGCCCTGGAACACCTATAGTTTCCAATAGATTGTTCAAACAGGACATCTTATGAATAGCTTCAGGGTTGTTGTTGTTGGGGGTTTTTTGCCATTATTAATCATCAAACAGCTCTGAATGTAAATAAAAGGTATATGTCATATTTTCAATACATTAAATGTTTGAAATACTTGGATTCTTCCCCGCCCTCTTAAAACTAGTAAAGTGACAAACTGAAAAACATGACTATTACTGCTAAGTCTTCATCAAAACCAAATGTATTCTTTTATTCTTTCACCTACAGATCTCATATTTCTTCTCACATTACATCTGACCAAAAGTTATACATGAACCTACTGGAGCTGAAACAGGGTGCAGACATTTTTACTTCTATTCTCAACTCCCACATGAAAAATATTTTATTGTTCTCTGAACATTCTAATTACTAGATGATATTCATATATCTTAAAACCTGATTTTTTTAAAGTACAGATCAAAATTTATTTTCTGGTAGGAGAATGGAATTCAGCTGCTGCTAAGTTTGATTCTATCAGGATTCCATCCCTTCTTCCGTCTCTCTTGCTTAGCTGTTCCCTTTTGGGGTCAGATGAATTATTAGTAATTCCAGCAAGCATTTTGGATGTACCTCATTTATCTAATATTGAATGATTTGCTCTTCTTATAGACCAAAGTATTGTCAGCTATTTTCTCCAACACTAAAACTCAAAGACATCCATTTTTCTTCATTCTTCTTTCTGTTGGTCCAGCTCTCAAGGTGATTTTACAACTGGGAAACCAGGCCTTTGATATTAAATTCCTTGGTTGTCAATATCATGTTTCTGCATTTTAATATTTTGTCAAACTCGATTATCCCATTCTTTCTCATATGTAGCAGATGTTTCTTTAGTTAATGGCTATGATCACTATTTCTGCGAATTTTTGAGCCTTGGAAGATAATCTGTTATTACTTAAACTTCTCTGACTATTTGAATTTAGGTATTTCCTATTGAGGTAATCTTAGTGTGTGTGTGCTTTAATACTGAACATCAAGTCAACATTTGCACTCAAGATGATATTATAAGCATACCTGTGGTTGTTAATGTTTCTCCCAGAAATTTTAGTTTCAATTTTTATTTCTTCTCACTCAGCAGTGATGATTCATTTCTGCAATTTGATGCCACTCAGTTCTAAAAAGGCTCTGAGTGGCGGACAGATGATGCAGAATAACAAGTATTAAAAGAAACAAAAAATAATCAATCCTCTCATAATTAGTAATAATCTGTGAAAAATGCCTTTTCTACTCCTTTCTCAATGTTGAACTATTTAGTTGTACTGGATTCTGTTCTAACTGTTGCTTCCTGGCCATCATCAGAGTCTCTTTTTAACGAGATGGGCGGTGACAAATTAGATAGATAGATAGATAGATAGATAGATAGATAGATAGATAGATAGATAGATAGATAGATAGATAGATGCATTCAAATTCCTCAATAAGCAGATACAGTTGGCTCAATACACCTGTGTTTTTAAGGGGCCTTCTATAATTTGCTATGGTCTACACAACAAATGTAATTCACAAATATAAACAAAGCAATATATATGTATGTCTTTGGAACTCTCTTGTGTTTCTGTTATCAGTCAGATGGCAGCAATGCCCTCTTGGGTGCTCCTACTTCTTCTGAATCCAGCTTCTGCATCTAGCAGTTGTGATTCCAGGTATTGTTGAAGTCTGGAATGAAAAACTGGAGGATTCTCAGTCTTCACATATGAAATAAGCACAGTCACTTGATCGTTCTATGATTCTTTGTCATTGACCTTTCTTGGTACTGGAAAATAAATTGATATTTTCAGACCCTAGGTCATTGCTGTGTTTTCCATACCTGTTTACAAGCTGCAAGTGAAGATGCTGGCTTAATTATAAAAGAAAGGGCTAAAATGTATGTTAGAAAGTATGAATTGGTGCCATGTAGATGGTTGTCAATAATTGATCCAATTCCTAAAGATAGGCTTTGGACAAAGCTGGCAGCTCCTTCTGTTGATTAAAAACTCTTACTTCTGATGATGGCATTTCATGAAAGTACTTCAGAGCAAGTGAGATGCCCCCCAGGATGTCTCCTTATGCCAATCCTTACCCAGAAAGAAGTGAATCAAACTTCATATTACATAGCTTCTCTCCTTTTTAGCATTTACATTAATATAAATTGAAATTATTACTCAGAATTGGCTAATAAATCCATTTTGGGTTCTTTTATATTTTATTTTTGCTGATACAAACTGCAAGTAGGTTTAAGGCAAAGTCTTCAAGCCTTTGTCTTGTCTTGTTGAAAAACTATCCATTATTCTTTTTAAAAAATTGTAGTTTTTGCTAGAAAGCTTATCCATCAATGGAAAATAAATAATAACTGTATAGGGCAAACTAAGGCCTTTAAATATCTATGAATTATTTTTCAACCCTCTGTTGCCTGGAAAGAATAAATAAAAGCTGTCACAGATTAGGCACATAGGACTGTCAATGCAATTTAGTATTTTGCTGGTAGCATAAGTGGTAATTATGTACTCACTGCTTTAAATATCTGTAAAGCTGTAGTGATTCTCCCTTTTGCTTTCTGGTTCCCAAATTTGCATTTACAAAAATTCATTAAGTTTGGAAACTGGACTAGTTTCTTTAGGGACCCATATGAACTCTGTCACCTTAGATTTTGGCTTAAATGGATACTTAACAAACCATTTCTGGCCTTGCAGATTTCAGTCATCTTGGGGGAAAAAAAAAACAGTTGATTCAATTCTTCCATACTGCAATCTTACAACCCAGTATTTGGTTTCACTGGGTTCAGGAGAACCAACATAGAACTAAGAGAGTATGCCCTTGACACCAGTCTTCAAAGTGATTGGAGCTGAGTCCTCCCTTGCTATGGGGGTGGTCTCGGTGGAAGATCATTACATATTAAGCTGCCTTTTTAATTTGGCTTGGCCTTCCTTCCTTCTAAATTGTCTTGGCAGCTCTGATGAGGAGAAAGCTCACCACCAATTGGCCAAGGTGCCTGCAGAAATATCTAGCAAGGTAGCCAACTTTTGCACAGCTGCTGTTGCTATTAGGAAGCTAATGGTATAGTCTTCTTCATTATTAATTACATATATTTGTCTGATCTTCTTGTGACATGTCAGGATTAATTGGTTTCCAGACATCTTTGTGAATTTTAAGTAATTTTTTTTTTAAATGTTTTACTTTTCATGGTGTGCCTCTCGGTTTTTTTGACAGCTCATCTTTCGCCATAACTCAAGCTTCACAAATTAAATCTAGACTGTAGTAAGTTAATGTGAAAGTAGAAAATCATAAGATGGTGATAGTTGCAAGTTACTTTCCAACAAATGATGATAATGATAGAATCTGGGCTGAGCTTTGGGAAAAATGATGCAGTGTTCTTCAATATATCTTTCTCCCATATTGCAGTGAGTGCAATCTGGGAGAAAGATATAAATATAGATACAGATATATTCTGTTAGATAACAAGATGGATGGGTGAGAATGAAACAATACACCAAAAAAGTGGGCCATTTGGAGAACCAAGAATAGATGAAAATGGTGATGGTTTGGTCAGCATCTTTTTAGAAAAAAGGTCTATTTTGAATATGGGCTTTAAGCATATTTTTTATGGAAAGGAATGAATGTAAAAACATGATTGATTTGATTGAATATTGTGAAAGTTTTTGAGAGAGTTAGTGAAGGATATAAGGGTGATGAAAGGTTCTTAATATGGGGCAAATCATTATTTGATAATGTCAAGTGTGGACCTAAAAGGAATGTGAACCTAGAAGAAAAGGAAAGTAGTAAAAGGAACAAGAATAAGAGTAGAACTATTGCAAGAAGAGAAAGTATTAAACCTGTATGGTAAAGGATAGAAGGTAGAATAGGAATGAATGGGAAATGGATAGGAAATGGATGTAAGGAAATACAGTATGGAAGCTGCATGGAATAGAGGGAAAAGAATTAGGTTATGAAGTGCCACAGAGATATGTAGAGTTATGCTAGTGGGAAACATGAAAAAGGATGCTTGGTGGAATAATAAAGGCTGTGGGTAAGAAAAAAATGCATATAAGAGAATGATTACTGCAAAAAAAAAAGAAGAAGAAGAAGAAAATATATTGTGTAAAATATAGGGATGAAGAGCCAGTTTGGTGTAGCGATTTAGGCACCAGGCTAGAAAGTGGGAGACCATGAGTTGTAGTCCCACCTTAGGCTCAAAGCCAGCTTAGTAACCCTGAGTCACACCGTCTCAGCTCTAGGAAGGAGGCAAGGGCAAACCACTTCTGAAACACCTTGCCAAGAAAACTGTAGGGAATTGCCCAGGCAGTTTTCAGGATTTTAAAAAAAACTGACTTGAAGGGGAGAGATGGCGGGGAGGGGGGCGGGAGAGAGAGAGAGAGAGAGAATTGCCAAAACTGTAGTGTAAGAGAACAAATGTCCATTTCTAATGACAGAAGTCAGAATTTCAGTTGAAAGGTTGATTAAAGTTGTAGTGTAGAACACCTAAAGTTTAAATTATCATCATCATCATCATCTACAGGATCCAACTTGGGGCAAATGTTCATAGTAATAAATGAAAAGAATATGAAATTACATTGAATATATCACATTTATGTAAAAAGTACAAAGAGTCACAGGAATGCCATTGCACTGGCATTGGAGATTTTAAACACATCGAGGATCCAATTGTAGTTTAAAAACTGAGCATGTGATAAGAATCACTGTATTTACAGTTTTTTCCCCCTCTCTTTTGAAAAGGTCTGTCTGCAGATGGTGGTGCCAAACGACAAGAGCATCTGTCCCGATTCTCCATGCCTGATCTAAGCAAAGATTCTGGAATGAATGTCTCAGAGAAGATGAGTAACATGGGAACCCTGAATTCTTCTGTACAGTTTAGAAGTGCTGAGTCTGTCCGCAGCCTAATTTCTGTTCAACAGTACCAAGATGTAGAAGCCAACCTACACAATCTTGCCAATCCCATTGGATACAGGGACACATCATCTCATGGAAGGATGCATCAGAGCTTTGATTATGAAGGTGGTATGGCAGGTAACAAATTGGCTGGACAAGAGAATATCAGGCATCCCCCAATGAGCGAACGCACGCCCAGACGAACTAACATCCGAGATGATGATCGGCGTTACCGCCCCCACAGGCCCCGACGGTCAAGGCGCTCTCGCTCAGATAATGCTCTTCACCTCACTAGTGAACAGAACTATAAGTTGAAAGAGAGGCCCTCTCTACGAGCCAGAGAGGACTATGACCAGTTTTTGCAGCAAAGAAGTTGCAGGGAGACCATGGAGCAGAACACACGGAGAAACCTGTATGGTCAGTGTCCAAGGACTGTATCAGACCTGGCTTTGCAAAACCACTTTGGCGAGAGATGGGGACCCTACTTTGCTGAATATGACTGGTGTTCCACGTGCTCCTCCTCCTCTGAATCTGACAATGAAGGCTACTTCCTGGGAGAACCAATTCCGCAACCAAGCCGACTCCAGTATGTCACTAGTGAAGAGCTTCTTCACAAATACGGCTCATACAGCATGCCTAAGTCTTCTACACTGGGTGGTCGAGGACAGTTACACAGCCGAAAAAGGCAAAAGAGTAAAAACTGTATCATAGCATAGCCACATTGCCCAAGCACAGTGTTGGAGAATGTAATTATTTCATCAACTTGCACTGCTGTAGGTTTTCAAGCGCTTTTTATTGTAACGAAACATCCAGGCAAGCAGGGAGCTGTTAGGAGAAGGTCATAGACAAAAGGTCTATAAATAGTCATAATTGTTGGCATGGTGAATATATTTTGCACATTTTATTTGGGGGAGGAAGGGAGGGAGGGGGAAAATTTATTTTAGCATGTTATAGTTACAAATTTACCTCCTTCCCACAAGTAACTGCCATCCATTTAATACCCCGTTCACCCATATGTTTTTAGTTGACATTGTTTTCTGTAATGAGCAGTTAGCTACTAGTTTAATCTCTCCTCTTTTTTTCCTTTGGCTTTTTATTTTCACCACCTGTTTGGGGGGCCATTTTTCCACCAGATTGCAAAGAAGATCCCATATTCGTTCAGTAAATGAGAGTTTGGAGAAAATATTTTTGTATTTGGTAATGTCAGAGGAATGTCCTTCTCCTAGGAGTCACTGGGACCTCTGTCATGCTTTGGCCAGAGCTAGACAAAAATTGCTTCAGAACCCTTCATCTTTTTGCCATCACATTCCTTCAGGATCAGCAAAACTTTATCTTCTCTACCTGCTTAAAACTGAAAAGTATGTCATCTTTTTTCTAAAGAATTCATGAATTCTCAGGCTTGCAGGCTACTTTAAAAGGTTATTGACACCTTCATATTAGGTTATAGGTGCCATATCACAAACACAAAATAGGAAATTATGGTTGTTGGGGCTTTTTTTCCCCCTTTTTTAAAGAGAAGAATACAGACACATGTACACATACAATTAAGTGTAAAAGTTAAAGGACCCAGATCTGAGAAGGAAGTTTACATCTCTTTAGAGAGGGGAAAGTCACTAAAATTTCAACTTCTTTTGGGAGGGTTAAACCAAAAGAATTGTAAATGGTTCTGTAGTGTCAGCATGAACTTGTTTTGAGTATAGAATTGTTTTCTGGTGCTCTGGTTTCCTGGCATTTGTTAACTGCTGTTCATTGCCAAGAGGTATCTTTTTCTGAAATTCATAATAAAATGAATACATCCTGATCATATTAGCACTCTACCCCTGGGTGATGAACACTTCAAGCCCATCATGAAGGCTGTTTGAAGGACCAATACTCAGGGTAGAATGGACTTCATTCTTTGGAAGTAGAAGAACACAAAAATAGCTTCAACATGGGTAGTTATATATATAGGGCTCAAAATGTATTGTGTGCTATGGTGGATGTGAGGTTTCTCTCTCTCTCACTCTCTTTCTCTCTCTTTGTGCTTTAAATAATTGGGAGACTGACATCAAGATGTGTTCTTTATTGTTTCTAGACAATACAGTCAGAAAGAAGGAAATACTTTTCTGTTATTGTATATTTTATTATAGGGTTGTAAAACGGGTTTCATTAGATTCCCAGGTAGGTCAGATCTGGACAACTGACAATACCTGTGTGTGGGTTCTCCAGAGAATGTAAGGACTCTGTTAATACAAAAGTCTATTGAATAGATGGCAAAATACAAACTGAGGGTGAGTGGGACTTTCCAAAGCAGGTGTGAGGGTCCCAGGCTCTTCAGCTGGACTTCAGAAGCAGAGGGCTTGGGCCCAGTCCTCCTGCCCTGTTGCAGTATTATTCCAACCATGAGGGACAGTCAAGACTGTGATTTGAAACACGATGACTGGGAAGGGAATCTCAGATGATGATGTATCCGTAACACAGCTAGGAATCTTTTGTTGTGTGCAAGGAGAATGTGATGATGATTTTTCCCCAAAAAAATAAAAAAGAAGGAAAAAGAAAAGAGATGTGGTGATGTATAAAAGCAAAATGTCTGAACTTCAACAAATGGTTTAATGGCCCCAGTAGAAATTATTTCTTTGTTGGTTAAAATAGGCTTTATTTATGATGGTCTCATCAAGGCTTACATACTTTATTTTTCTTCAGCAAGGGTTATGCTTATGGTCTACTCACACGGATGAAATTTCCATTGCATTTCATTATAAGGGGCACTCAGCCCATAGGGAAGGACGGAAGGAAAGAAATAGATAGGCAGATATGGACAGATAGATAAATAGACAGACAATACAAATAAAAAAGCAGACTCTGCATTCCACTCCTCATATGAATTGTTTCAGAGTTATCCAACTTCTGATTAGTATAAGGACAAATAAAACCAATAATCTGAAAAATATTATAGGCTTAATTATTTGGAGTAACCTTTGGAACCTTAGAAATAATTCTATGATATACACACACACACACACACAATTTTTAAAAATTATAATCTGTGAGTAAGCCACAATAACTGACTTCATACATCATGATAAGCCACAAAAGGTGATTCACAAACCACAGTGTCTTAGTTTATACGTTGCAATAAGCCAGCACCAAATAAAGAACATTGCAATATAGTTTGTCACGAGGATCCAGCAAATGGCTGAATTCAGATATTCATGATTGCTATGGTGAGTCTCTGCTGCATCAGAATTCAGGTTCACATTTCTCTCCCCTCCTTTGCATGAAAGAAATATGAAGCTTCCATCTGGAATTTAGAAGAAAGCAGTGTTTTGTCTTTTCCCAAATATGGATAATAGACCAACCTAAACCACAGTCAAACCATGTAGGGTCACCTGGTTTGTTCCCAATTGTGAATAACAACTTGCTTGTTAAACATCAAGAAAGGGGAAACAGACTATAAGAACAGCCTGGAGGGTTGCTGTGGGGCCTACACATCACATTATGGGATGGCTTCTGAATGCAGCTGATGAAAAACTAGGAACAGTCTTTGTATCAGCTGCTGGCTATGAAAACCACATTAATCAAATGAAAAGTGTGATGAGAAGTATAAAGTTAGCAGAATGGTATAATTAAACTTAGAAAAAGGGTATTTTGGTGGCCAGGATTGCATTTGAGAAGGAAAGCAGAGCCCCAGCATGTGTCGCTATCACATAAAGAGGGCAGAAGTGGTAATTTTCCAGGGAGGAGCACAGTGATGCCCTAGGATCAGAGGTATTTTTAAAAGATGTTATGCCAATGTAGTGCTTACATGGATATTTTTTGTTTTCCTTTTCAAGAGGGTGGGATACTATGCCATTGATTTCTGGTCATCACAGTGAAGGGACCTCCAGGAGATACATGTGATTCGGGGGCTACAAGTTGTCCACCTCATTATTCATGATGTGATTTAAGCATTTCTGATCTTGGACTTTCATCAAATCCTAGTGAAATGAACCACATATTAAGCAACTAAAGGGGACATTCGTATTATTTATTAATGAAACACATATATTCCAAATGCCCATTATATTAAACAATACCAGCAATAGTATAAATTTTAAATACCCCTGTTAGAATTCGGTCAAGTGTTATGCACTTGATGCTTCATTAAATATCCATTTTAATAGAAGATACTTTCATGCACTTTATCAATGAACTGCTGTTGACAGAATTAAAATCCAAAACTGCAATTTCATGCCCATTTACCTGAGAACAAGACTCTTGAATTGTACGAGTTTGACCTCTAGCAAAATACGTGTAGCATTGCATTGTGAATCTTTTATATGGCTATAGTAAGCCACAAGGAGTGGCTTGTATTTTGAAGATGTATGCATGTGACCTAACTGATCGTCTATAATTGTCAATAATTATGCTTAATTACTTCTGAAAATTATAGCTAGAGGACAGGCTGTTAATTGATGTTAATCAAAATGTTCCAGGGAGATTCAGAGATGAATTCTTATAGAGGATTTTGGCACTGCATCAAGAAGAAGGAAAATAAAGGCATGCAGGTGCTGAGTTTGAAATGTGGGGATTCTGATGTGTTGTGTACCTTCTGCACAAGCCCAGGCAGCAAGCTAAGAGAATTCAGCTTCCTCAAGCCGCTGCCTTGGATGAACCAGTTTAACCCTTGACCTGAATTTACTAGCAGAATCTGCCTTCATCCCTAAACTTACAGACACATCCATCAAGGTAAGCAACATTATGCAAAGCAGAGAAAAGGAATAAATAGTGAAACCTGAAAAAGATGTGAGATAAGAAAAGGAAAAAAATATGGCTAAATCTAGTTTTCAGCATTGACAGTAGCTTTCCGTACCTTTCTGTCCTTACGCGCCATCCTTGCTTCATATTTTACCTTTTTTCTGCAAACTCTGTTCCAGAGAAACTCATCAACTCCAATGAAGAACTTTCTCAGCCTTCTTGTTCCTCTCAAACCATTCACTCTTTATATATTTGTTTTGCAATTTCATCCTCATTCATTCGCTTTAAATGGCCAAACCACCTTAATGTGCTTCTTTCATGCAGTTCACTCACTTCTGTAATCAATCCCCATTTATTCAGCAACCTATCTCTGTATACACACCAATACTTAAGTAATCCTTTCCCACCGCATTCAACTTCTTTTTATTCTGACATACCAAAACTCACTCCCACTTAGCCAAATGGGCAGAAGCTTGCTCTCATACATAGAGACATTTTCCTTTCTTTCAACTAGTATTCATTCTTCCAACTCCTGCCAATTATTCTACTAGTATTTATACATCTTAAAATTGCTTTACTATTTTTCCATCTTTAGTAAAGGTACAAAAATGTATGTACTTGCTCAATTATGTTTACAGTTTGGGTTTGTTTGTTTGTTTTTTACATTTATACATTAACTCATAATTGCTCACTCCTTTTTCTGGGTCTAACCCAACCACCATGGTCTTTGATATATCTGTACATATGCACCTTGAATGGCAATCAGCAAGCAAAGCTCTTTCAACTTGGGTTTTTATGTAACTTCCAGGATGCAGCATTCACCATCTATGTGGTTGCATATGAAGAATCTATCTAACCTTGGTTGCTAGCATATGAATAATTAAAGCCGGCTATTCTCCAAAGAGGGACATATTTAGTTTACCAGCCAAAGTCAAAGGCATTCCTTGCTACCAAGGTTATTTGGCTGTCCAGTGTCAATGCTGGTTCCAAAAGAACTATCAGGCTGTAAACCCGTTCCTTATTTTATTTTATTTTATTTTATTTATTTATTTATTTATTTATTTATTTATTTTTAAACTTGTATGCCGCCCATCTCCCCCAATGGGTGACTCTGAGTGGCTCACAATAACAAAAATGAAAAAACACACCAATCCCTCCAACAGTGGCTAAAATCCATAAATAATTAAAATACAAACATACATTAAAAATGTCCTAAAAACCCCCTGTATATTTTAGCACTAACACCTTCAAGATGCTGGGGGGAGGAGCCAAAACCCATCACCCCACCAGCCATCTCCACAGATGCGAGCCCCCATACGGTCCCCAGGCCTTCTGGCAGAGCCAGGATTTAACCCCTTTTCTGAAGGCCACAAGGGAGGGGGCACACCGGACCTCGGGAGGCAAGATGTTCCAGAGGGGGGGAGCCACAGCAGAAAAGGCCCTCTGCCTAGGCCCCACCAATCGAAATTCCTTGACCGGTGGGGTCTGCAACCTGCCCCTTCTGCTGGACCGAGTGGGGTGGGCTGAAATAACCGGGGCGAGATAGTTCCTCAGATAACCTGGTCCTGTGCCATGAAGGGCTTTAAATGTGATGACCAACACTTTAAATTGGACCCGGAAACAAACTGGCAACCAATGCAGCTCACGCAACAGCGGTGTTATATGTGCCCTCCTAGGGGCATTGAGAACTGTCCGCGCCGCTGCATTCTGCACTAGCTGTAGCTTCCAGATACTCTTCAAGTGTAGCCCCATGTAGAGCGCGTTACAGTAGTCCAGCCTGGAGGTGACCAGGGCATGGGTGACCGTGCAGAGGGCCTCCTGATCCAGGAAGGGGTGTAACTTATTGGGGGTGGCAACTCCCCATCTGGAATAAGCATATCTCTGAGTCCTAAAGTCAAGCGTCCAGAATAATTTACAACTTTCTCTTCTCTGCACTTATTTTTATTCCCACATCCAACCCTGAAGAACCTCAGCTCAGTAGCTGGGAATCATTAGATTATTGATGGCAACTAACTGCAAACATGTGAGTGGTCTTTTCCAGCAGCTTTATATAGATACGTAAAATAAAAGATAACATTTTGATGGATGCCCCTCCCTCAGATTGTTCTCCGGGAGCTGAATAGCAGTTTCCCAATATCACTTTCTGAGAGCACTTGGAGATAGGAACAGAATCATCACAAACCATTGGTGCCAGTCCCCCAAGCACTTCAAAATGATGTCACGATCAACAGTATCAAAAGCTGCCAATAGGTCCAGAAGTATCAACAGGATTGTGCTTCCTCTTTCTGTGTCCTGCTATAGAACATCCTGTGGCAGGGTAAAGTGCCCAGCTGGAGGAAAGCAGTTGGAGGAGGAAAGCAGGTAGGTCTGTACCAAGATCATGGATTTTTAAATTTTTTTTTTAGGGAAGGCAGGTGACCAGCACAAGACCATGAGAACATAGGCAGATGAGAGGAAAATGCCAGAATGCACCTGTAAAGTGGCAGGTACATGCCTTAGATGTAGAATATAAAAAGAGAAAGGGGCAGAGAGGGGGGCGTTATATTTCAGATGCTGCAGGACATGCTGGAGAGGATGTCACCTAGCTAACATGGAGAAATGACCCTGCCTGCCAAGTTGGTTGATTCCAGCTCTGGGATGTGGAGGACAACCAGGAGGAAAAGCCTAGAGCTGCTTGTGAGAGTGTGGAAAGACCAGGAGGTTGGATTGGATTGTCTGTACAGAGATTCAGATGCTGGACTGTGGACCTTTGTGAGTTAAAGGGGTTTTTTTGGCAGCAAGACAGCTGGGAGAAAACTCACAGACATTCCAGAATCATTAACTGAG